GAAAAGCCATAGAAAAGGCGGCAAAACTTGCAAAGCCCAGTCCAGAGACAACGCTGCGGATTACGGCTGGCTGATTTATTTTCCCACTGGGTTGCTCCTTTTCCCTTCCTGCACCTGTCAGTACGATGGCTTTCCTTTGGCCCCGACAGTCGGAATATATTTTTAATATTTTCATTTCCCAATAAGACGGCTGCCAGGCTGCCAGGCTGCCTGGCTGGCTGACAGATGATGTTTCCTTCCTTTCGCCCCGAAAGACAACAATTTGGGAACGTAAGACTGGCGCTTGTGGGTGGTCATGCCAATCAATGGCATGACGCGCCAAAGAGTTTTCATTTATTTGCCTCGCTGTTGACACTTTAACCGCCCGGCGATCTAAAAGTTTTCTAATAGAATCGCCGCTGACCAGCGGAACGTAACCTTTTCGAGGACTTTCAGATTAATCACCCGACATTTCCACTTGGCTTAACCTTTATGACCCTTCCCACTGCGGACTCACTTGACTCGCACAATTGCACAACAAATCCGGCGACCAAAGAGACCGCCCACTGCCAGCCGATTTATTGGCAGCTGACCAGTGGTCAGCAAAGTAAAAAGGGCACTTCATACGGATTCAGTGGCAGATTTACGGTCGTAACACGCACTAAAGGGCGGGTCACTTATATTGAAGTCAGCCCAGTTATAAAAAATATCCCATTTTATAAATTTCCTAAGCAAATAGTAACTTTAAAATATAGTCACAGTATAGTCACAATATATATTAAAAGAAGGGTATTTTTCGTAAGAATAAGATAATTGTACTTCGTATCTATAATATGGTTACTATGAAATTTAATAATTTATTATTATGGACTATAATGAAATAAAATAACACACAATTTTATTTTTAAAAAACAAGATAGTTTGAAAGTATTTTATTTTTCTGTGTATAACTTTGTACACTAAATTCAACTTCCGGCCGAGTTTGCACTTCTTCCGCTCGACGCTGTCTTAAAATAACAGGAACAGGAAAACGGGAAAAGTGGAAAAGTGACTTTAACGCAAAACTCAAATAATTTCATTTTCGACTTCGGTTTGCGGAATTGCATTGCAAGATGCAGCTGTTGAGTATCTGGCTTTTTGCTTATTTATCTTTTTTTTTTAGGCCAAGAAAACAGAAGCTCTTGGAAATGTCGACACTTTGCGACAGCTCGTGCCAGATTCAAATTGGCTTATACCGTATTTTCCAATTGCGATGCGCTTTTGAGGACCGGAGAATGGAGCACGGAGACTTCCAAGTGCCACAGCCATGTGCCGCTCGAGATGGATATCTCGAAGATTCGTTATGGCTTCTGCAAACTGAGGCCGTGACAGGTGGAAATTGATTTGAAATTGACTTGCAGTCATAAACTAAAAGAAATTGCGATGGAAAATGAAAAAAAGGTTTATGGCACAGCCAAAAGAAGGAATGATTTTATTTTTAAATAAATTTTTAAGTAAACAGATGGTTAATTTTTCATTACTTTAAGGTCAGAGAAAATGTTATTCACTTAAATTAAGACGTAGATCGTTCAGCTTGTGACTAAGACAATTTTGCTCTTATAAACCACCTTTAATATTCTAAAGTGAGCAAGATAGTTATTTAACGAAGTGTTACTTAGTTCAAGACCAAGTCCTCCCCAATGCACTTTCATTTTCTGATGCTTGACATTTGCATAAACTGAAGAGTAGTCTCTGCTAAGCGGTTTACCTTTGACCTCCTGGGAAAAGGCTGCACTTCACCCTCTTTTTGATTGAACACCCCGTTCAACGGGGTTGTCAATTGACTCTTTTTTATAAATATCCTGCTGCAGAACCGGGGCCTTGCCAAGTGCTCCATCATCAGTCTGTTCTCAGGAGGCAGGATCCAGGGCCCACCAGTAGTGACTCATCCAATCCGCAGTGACCTTTCCACATGGCTGCCTTTGGTCTGGCAGCTCCACTTGAAAACTCCGGGTAATAAATTGAAATCGAAATCGAACATAATAAAACTTGGCACATCAACAGAACTTGTCTCCGCAAAATAATGAGTGAAAAATTGAACACAATTTGGCCGAATGCCTGTACATAATTAAATATAAATGTCTGACTACGTATATAGTGTTATATATAAGGCATGCCATAAAGTGCCGACAATCATAAGCAATAACACAGCAAATAAATAACGCATTTGCTGTTATAAATCCTACATGCGATTCCATGTCCATGTCCTTTTCCTTTGTGCTGCTGCAAATGGCGGCCATTTGCATAAATGAGGGACTAAGGAGCAGCTACGTCATTGTTTGCAGTGCGTCTGAAAAGTTTTCGCCGCCTTCGTGAGGGGAAAAATTCAGAAAGCACCCATTTTAGTTTTATCTCCACGACGCCATCGCTCCAGCTCCAAACATTAGCACTAATATGCATAAACATGTCTGTGTAGGTATGTATAATTTTTATGTTTATTACGTCCCCCAGGCGATTTTGAATATTACACAAGCGTCGACGAGGATTGGGCCTTGAGAGTACCCTAGTATCAAAAGGTATTTAAGTTGCTTAGCTGCTTTAGCTCTGCAGAAAATTCCATTTCATCAATTTAAATACATTAATTCAATACCTACAAGACTTTGTTCTTTCTTAAGTAAAATATTCAAATTTAAAAGTTATGGAAATCATACCTTCATCAAAATACTATTTTATTTTATTATTTAAAGCCTTAAGTTTACTTTTAATAAAAATATATAATTATACCACTTCCTTAAAATATATAAAGAGATATGGTAGACTTTTTCATTACTACTACTTAAAATTAAAAATATTATTAATTGTTCTTTAAATGAATATGCATATTTTAATTCAGATTTCATCAGGTTAATGTTTTTGAGGTTCCTTAAAACATATATAGAGTACGGTAGAATTAGTTTCCTTATATATTTACCACAAAGATTATTAAGAACTATGGTTAGAAATAAAGTCCTTTAATTGTATTAATGTGTATAGCTGATATTACCACCGATACCCCGCTTTATTCAGGTAAACCCTCCATGAGTGCCTCGTGGGCATTCTAACGGCGAAACGGCGCTTGACCCAGAAATAACCCCGGATTGACCTCTTGCCTGATGGCCAGCTGGTGCCGCACGCGCCGCTCTTATCAACAGGCGAATGGCAGTTTTACGATACGGTCGCTTATCAACTGCTGCATTATTGCGATGCGACCTTTGGTGGCTAATCAAGAAGAGCTTACTACCTTGTTGTGGGCGAATCCTTTGGGACTTAGCAGTCAGCAGGCTCTGCCGGAAGCGGATGTGGCTCAGTTTACCCGGCTAACAGCGTGTCCTTTGACGGCCACCGACTTGGCCATAAATCAGCCGCAAGTTTTGACGGAAATTCAAGACGTCAGGAGTCGCGCAGCGGGAAATCCACAAGCTCAAAAGGGTTTCCGCTGGGCGAAGACTGAAATGAGCTGGGAAACTTAAGCTGCATCCCTGAAGATGGCCGGGAAAATGTATGCGGAATTTATTTTTACGGAACTGCAATTACCAGAAGTGGACCATAACAATTACAAGGATGGTAAGATTAAGGAGCTTGAAACGTTTTTGCTGGAATTTTACTTGCCTTGTTTCTTAGGGGTGCTAAAGTATAAGTCATTAAGAGTTGATTAACTTTGCTTGATATATATATATCAAAAGAGTATTCAAATTTTCTGAATAAATATTGAAAATTTCTTCTACACAAGGGATCCAAAACTCATATTATAAGTCAAACCAGTAAGCACAAAATTCCATAATTCATAAACCTTTAGTAATCCCAAATAATATGCACATAAATAAATAAATACAGTTCAAGTGCCGTCGCATTCCAAGTTCAAGCGAAAAGTTAACCCTGTGACCAAATGGTGTTTTGCTTTGTTTTGGCCTGGTTTTATTTACCTTTGTCTGGGACAATTTGGCGTGTGTGGGCTGTGATTTAACCGGAACAATATATAGTCATCCGCAGGACAGAAGCCACTTTCAAACCGAACAATCAGCGCCTACATAGCGAACTTTTCTGAGTCACCCACTGGCAGGCTTCTGGCCTTTTTCTGGCTCCGATTTTGGCCTTCCGCCACGAGTTGGCAGTGGGAAAAATGGCAAACGGATGTTGTGCGCAACGAGCCGAGTCATGACATTTGCATAACAAATTCCATTTAGCCCCAGCTCCATTTTCCCCTCCCTTTCGCCACAATACCGAGACATGGAAACATGTTTATTTTAGATCATTTCATCCTATTCCACCCGCATTCAGGCGCTCCATCATAATTATGTGTCACAAATACCGAGAACTCAGCCATTCGCTCTTCATTATTCAATCACTCGATGGCTGTGTGCGAATTTATTGGGGCTTTAAAGCAGGGAACTTGGGTCCTTTGGCCAGGATTGAGGTGAGGAATCAATGGCAAAGGATGGGGGCGTGTTCAGTTTGTCGTTAAATCAAATCAGCGGTACATTACTCCACCGCCCAGGCTCTTGGGGAATTTCAGGCCTGCCAACAGTGGGCGGAAATACCGAGTCAATCGAAAATTAGAATAAATTCTAACAAGGAAAAATGAGAATTCCGTCAAAATGAAATTAATGACAATGAAAAGGTTTTTTCAATAATAATAACAAAAAATTTCATTTGCTTTGAATGATTTGAAGCACGTTTTAGGGAAAATGGTTTTTAAAACGAAATAATAATGTGTAAATTATGGTCTTCAAGGAACAATTTAAAGAAGAATGATAAATAAGCATGGCAAAGTGAATGGTTTGGCAGAAAATATAGAAACGTAAAATATGTGCATTTGAGGTATTAAACTCGACGATGTTATACCAAGGTTTTACCGCTTTTATCGACCACCAAGTACACCTCTTAGAAACAGAATGACTTACGGATTTGCCATCTACACGAATAATTCAACTTAATTTGTCAGTTGAGTGAGTGCGGGGCTTTGAAGTCGCTGTCCTGGCATATGAATTTAACTAAGTCGGCTGTAATTTGTTTATTTTCTGTAGGTGACACATTGGCAGTGGTGGTGTGGGGCTAAAAGTACCGCGGTGCCAGGTGTTTACGAGCGGGCCCTCCTGTCGTATACGTGACGGGGTTGGTGGTTTTCCGGCTTGATTGTTCGCTGTTGGTTGAAAAAGCCTTTTTCCCAGGCAGCTAGACTTTAATTCAATTAACTGCGAAAGGGCTGGAGGTGCACACGTGCGTTTTTTGACACGGGTCAGGGGTTAGGTGACGGTTTTGTGGCCATTTTTAAGCATAAAACATTAGCTAATCCTCGCGCAGGACAGTCGAATCCTCGGGTTTTTCGGTAAAATCGCAGCGCAGATCGGCGACCTTGGCCAGGATTTCGGTTTTGAGGTGCTCAAAGGGGCGGAGCAGGCGCACGGGAACCGACTCATCGCGTCCTTGGAAAAGGGTTTCCCCGCTAAAGTCCACGAACCCATACTTTCGGGCACCCAGCAGGGTGGCCAACAGTTTGTCGGATATGTCGTTGTAGAGTTCGAAAAGTGGGCCGAAAGCCAGGGTTCTGAGACCATCTATGGGATCATCTTGACCGGACTTCTGGATCGTATCGCACAGCTGCAGGATCTCCTCCAGAGCACGGACACTGGCCTGCAGGGATCTCTGCTCGGAGAGACTTCCCGCCGGAGCCCGGCCGTACTCCTCCTGCGGAAAGCTTCTCTTGGGCATGTCACTCACGTTGTAATGGGCGAATGGGTTTATCATCATCCAGTTTTTGTGCTGTTCGGCATGCTGATTGAAAAGCGTGATGCGCGAAGAAACCGACGAGTCCTGCGGGGATTCATCCAGAAGGTCAAAGGTCATTGGATAATTATACCCCGACCACACTCACCTGGTTTGCAGCCATTTGAAAAATTTCGCGGGAATTTTGATTGGTTGTTTGCCGAAAATATTTGTCGATATCAGAACAGAGCCAAGCCTGCTGTGCGTCCAGCTGGGGCACAAACAATTCAGCCAAGTGTCAAATGATGTGGCCAACTTGATTTTTTTGTGGGCTACATTAAATATAAAAGTAGTACATTTTCAAAAAAATAAATTTAATACACTTTTATAACAAATATATCACATTGAACACATATAACTTGAATTTATTGAAGTACTTTATTATTTTTACTTATAAACTTATAAATATTTTAATTTTTGCTTTAAAATATTATCTAATAATATTACAAAAAATACAAATATAATATATTCTTTTAGCTCAATACATTTTTGAAACCAATAAATCACATTGGAGACCTTATCTTATTTATTTGTAATTGTATGTCTCCTTACTAGTTTAAATTTTCAGTAATTATCAGCTATTTTAGTGCACATTCCTCTAATTAATGCGTTCAATCAACCCATTAATGATTGTCGCTGCCACATGGATGCAATCACACGCATCTCATTAGGGTTCTCTTGAATCCCAAGCCGCGTCAAAGCCGCCACATCCGGACTCCGAAAAGGCGCGAGTTTGCCCAGGGATAATCAATCAAAGTGTCGCTTTAAATACCCCCTCCCCTAACATCCACTTCCACTTCCCCATTTACATTTACATCCACCCACTCAGTGGATTTTAGTGAGGCTTTAAGCCAACTCCACAGGCAGTGGCAGCCATGTGGCAAATGCGGCGGAAACAGCTCGCAAACTAGCTCCATAAATTTAAGCCTCGAATGGCGCGCAAGTCGCCGGAAGTATTTGGAGCTCAGTGCAGCCGGAAATACAAAACAAATTTCCCAGAGACAGAAAAACCGAGTGTTAGAGCAAAAAACTGGGGGAGCGGAGAAATTAATGAAACAAAACGAGGAATTGAAAGCCAGGATAATGAAAGTCAGTCCAAGAAATTACGCAAGTCGAGACTTTAATATGCTTTTTAAATAATTTCGTCAAAAAACTTAAGTTCTTGAATTATTCTTACAGAAATTATTTGGTTCTTAAAGTTGAACAAATGTATTTCCTAGTTTCTCAGCTTGAATTTAAAGCATTTCAAGAGTCAAGCTTGAGATTTCCGTTAGTTAAAGCCAGACAGATTGCGGCCCCAAGTCAAACCAATAAAACCTATAATATCCTGCCCCTCGGGATCCTCCAATTAAATGCTGTCACACAATCTGCCAATCCAATTATTTTCTTTCCGAGGGCTTGAACCAATAGTTCCACTCAATGAGCATTAAGTTAAATCACGCTTTAAGCAAGAACATTATTCGAAGGGTATCAAAACTGTGTTCCGGCGGTTTTTCTGTTTCATTTTCCTTTTAGTTGGTGGTTGTGGGGGGATGGAAAAGCGGAGGGGACAAGAAACAAAACAGAGAAATGGCAAAATGGCGCCACTTCCACATCCGTTAAGCAATAAACATTAATGCGCAATTAATGCTGGTGTCAGACTTTGACTTCGGTCAGTGGTGTTGGTTGGGTGTTTACCGGTTTTCCCCTTGATTTTCCCTGATTTTCCCTCCCAGAATTTAGCACAGGTCCGTTGTCTGTTGTTGATTTCCTCCACTTGCTGTGATTAACGTTTGGCGCCTCGTCTTAGCCTTTAGTTATTTATGGACCAGCATGACAAATGAAATCAAGTGGGCACAAGGCAAACTTAATGCAAAGCTTGTTTTTGGGCAGTCCAGGACAGTGACTTCCTTTTGCTTTGAAGTCTGTGTTTGCTCACCCACCAACTTTCCAAATGATGAAGTAACCAGGGAAATATTTGGAGAGCAGCTTACAACCTCAAAGGACGACGGATTGTTCAATATGTTTAAGAGGCGACAGCTTTTCATTAGTGATGGAATGTTTACCTACGTCCTTGGTTGGAAAGTCAAAATTATTAAAAAAGGCGCTCCTTGTTTCATAATCTAAAGTGCAACGTTAAAATTCTTTATATAAAACATAACATACCATATCATCATGACACTCATTGACTCATTTGAATCTTGAAACCTTAATGTAATATTCTCAAAATAGAACGACTTAAAATACATTAAATTGCTTTATAGGGGGCTATATTTTCCCATTCTCATATCTCCTATAAAAAGGAAAGCCTTTCCCATCACTAGTTGTAACTAAGCCTCGCCAGCTGTCAAAGAGCCAAGATGCTCCGACTTCCGCCACTTGGCCATATGTTTTCTCTATTCCCCACCGATTTCAAGCTGCATTTTCCGACCCAAGGAAGTGTCAGTGGCAGTTGGAAAAGCCCCGCCCTTTGTCAAGGGCCACTTAAGATCCTACCATGTCTGCATATGGCCCCCAAAATTTATGGGTTGTTTGTATTAGCCCTCGGAAAATCCCCGACGCATTATTCAATTTGGAGCTGGCTGTAATGTAAAACAATTTTCCGCAAATGCACCAAAAAAAAAAAGAAAGGAATGAAGGAAAACTGTCTCGGCTGGGTGAGTTTTATGTGTGGCACGTTTGGCAATAAATTTTCGGGGTTGAGTATTGGATTTACAAATTGCTGCTTAATCCGGCGTTTTCATTGAGCGCGAGACAAATTTATATGGTCTGCGGTTAGCACCTGTTTTTCGGTTTTCCCTCGGGAAAACAAACCCTTAACTTGTTTAATAACCGCTGATCATTGCTCAGCATTTTGCTTCATTTTTCTTCAACCATACATATATCCTTTCTCTAACCCATTTCATTGCTCACCCAAAGGAAGACAAAGCTTTTTGACTTGGCCCTCAAAATTTGTGTCATTTATAACTTTTGGGCAAAACGGCAAAGCGATTTATTTCGTGTTTTCCTTCGGTCTGGCTCCAGTCAAAGTTTGATAAATGAACGCATTCCGCTCCAGATTTTCCTTTTGCATATGAAACCCGCCAAAGGGGACATCTGGTAGTTGCACTTTTTCAGCTCCATTTGGCAGCTGCCAGGGTCTGGTTTATGGCCTTTTTGGCCTAGTCTGTCATAATCAGAGCGTTTAATACCATCGATATGCACCGAATGGTCGCCAAAAATCAAATCAACGGTTGGCAGGACAACAGACAGCTGATGACCTCGAAAAAAAACAAACAGCCAAATCGAAATAAACCAAACTTCGATCGCAAAAAATTAGTCAAGTCAACATGAAGTGGGAAAAAAAAGGGGAGAAGCGTTCCCACAATGTTTTTATGTCCTTTTGTTGGGATAGCTCTTCGTTTTTTCCCAAAAAATATGCAACAGCCGGTGCCACGAGTGGGTGAGTGTGCTGATGATACACTGAAAAAATCAACACTAAAGGACAAAAATATTTAAGTTTATTCGACTCACTCGAAAAGCTTGAAGTTATCATAATTTTGTAAAATGTATAATTCCAATTTCAGAATACTTGACAAATATTAGATTAACACAGCAACTTATAATACTAAGGCTATGGACTATATATGAACTAGGATAATGTCTGATGGATAATAATAAATTAGATTAAGAAACCTTTTTATATGCTCTGTCTTATATGCTAAATTGCTCTAAAATGTATCTAAAAATATTGTGTTTATCGGGTTTCTAGACATTTAAGGTACTGTTTATCTTGGATATCAAAATAAAGCTAAAATATTTTTCAAGTCTTATTGTGACTAAAAAGATTAATACTTTTCAATCCCGAATCTTTTCTCTGCATAGTGTATGTGCTTGGGAGCCTGAAAAATTGCTAGCCTGTCGCATTGATTTGATTGACACTTTTATTGACACAGTGTTGCCCTTGTTGTTGCCAAGGGTTTTATGACCTGCCAATGAACGCGAAAGCCTTTAAGCCAATCGACGGCATCCAATGAGCTTGTATACGGGTAGTTTGCAGCTTTTGAAACACTTCAACTGTAAAGCCATCCATATAGAAATTTGTATATGCGTTTTCATATTTTTATGGCCCATACAAACTTGATTTTTTAATGCTTTACAGCAATCCGAATTAGGGAAAAGCAATAAAAACTGCACACAAATATTATTGCCAAACAAATGTGTAAGTTATGTGACGTGGGAAATATTTGTTTTTCCTTTTTCTAGCATATATAGCGCATGTGCCATAAATAAATAAGTATATGATATATGGATAGGTGAATCCACAAATGATTATAATGACTTATTATTATGGTTCAGGACCAAATGAAAATAATTAAATTTTATAAATTTAAGGATAAACTTTTGTTACTCTTCTATCTAAATGGTCTTAAAACTTATAATGTAATACGTATTAATTTGATGTAGGTGTATATGAAAGAATGTTATTTCATAGATCTAAAGTTGTGGATTATTATGCTTCCTTCTGCTTATAAAGTAAGCGTGAAAATTGGTTATGACAAACTAACGTTTATGTGGAAGGTTATTAAAATACCCAGCTTATTTCACCCCAGGACCGGCTGTATACGATCCCCACGATCCAGGACTAATATTCCTACCCGAAGCTAGTATAATGCCGGTCCCGCCATGAATTTTCATGGTCGCAACTCTGCTTTTTTATGCGTGCCACCGGAACAATGGCGTCCAAGGCCAGAGAAAGTGGCCATAAAATATGACATTTGCTAGCCTTTTGTTTGCACTGGGCCAACGGATCTTTGTGGCTATATTGCCGGGGGAGCTGCAATCGGCTGGCAATTAATCAGGCTTCATTTGCACTTAATCGAGCCATGATTTGCACGCAACGGCAGCCCAATCATGTGGCCATTAGATGCCATTATATCAGGCAGCCGCCTATTCAATTTAATTTTCATTAGCCCAGTGCCATGCGGTCATCGACGAGCGTCAAATTATTTTTGGCCCTCGGTCGGGACGACGGGAAATGGGAATAAAAACTCATTTTAATATGCGTTGCCCAGCAGCGACCTCTTTTCCTTGGCCATTTTGCGAACCCCTCGTCCAGCGGACTTAATTACATATTTAAATTCCAACTGCGCCGTCTCTCAATGGCCAAGAAATAGCAGCGAAATATAACAGCCGAGAAATAATATAAATATTCTGGGTCCCAACTTGCTGGTCGTAGTTATGAGATACCGTAAACAACATGACGTCAAAACAAACCTAAGTGGAAAGTCCTTCGGAGTGAAATCTTCAAATGCTCTTAAGAATATGTGGAAGTCCTTTGAAGTGTAATCTTAAAATACTCTTAAGAATATGCTTCCCCAAAGTTAAGCTTTAGTATATTTTTGTAATTTCCAACAATAAGTATATGCTATAAAAACTTGCAAATAAAAAATAATTATTACAAATTCCTAATCAATTTCTATAACTATTTTAAAATTTGTCCAAAATTCTAGTCCCCCTTTCAGCTAGAGTAAAATCATCGCCCAAGGTCATGTCTACTGTAATTCTTAAGTGGCCATCAACTGGATTTGTTCATAATAATAAAAAGGAGCATACTTTATGGTTATGTAACTGAACCAAAAATGAATTTTAAGCAGCATTGAAATGCTTCAGAACAAAGTAACATAATATTTTCCAAGGGAAATAAACTTGGAAAGAACTAAAATATAAAACACTTAAAAAATATATGGAGAGGTAATAATCATAAGAATGCTATTTATGATTATTATATGTATAATTTAAAGATCAAGTAAAGTAGTTTGTTAAAACTTGCACTTTCTTGTTATGTCCCTTTACGCTGAACTCCTTTTTACTACTAGAACAATGTAATAGTTTCAATTAAAATGGTTTAATATTATAGGGATTCATTTTATTTGAAAGCACTTATCAAATTACTATTAATAACCGTTAAGCAATTATACTGTTTGACAAAAAATGTCAAAATTGTAATTATTTCATAATCAACTGTGCGTCATTAAACCGCTTTCCGTGTGTTTGCGTAATTAAGCGCCCATAGCTAATGTAATTCATTTTTATAAATTAATTGATGCTTGTTTTTTGCTTACACAATTATGTATATGAATAATTGATCAAATGGTTTTTATTTTAATTATTGTTACTATAGTGCCTGCATAATTCAAAGGGGTAATGTCAACAGTTGTAGATCCTATTTAGAGAAGCTTTATAAGGGAAATAGGTTTAAGTTTATGAGTTGACATAACCTAGAACATAAAATATTTAATATACATTTACATAGCCCATTTTGTTATTGACTTTATTTCGTGCAATTGCGTAATTTTATATGCTTCCTTGGGACACGAATTCCCATCCAGTCAGAAACATTTGAAATTAGCCGACATTACACAGGCATTAGGGATACCTCATCGCATCTGCATAAATTTTCGCTGGCTCTGAAAATTGTTGCCTGCCTTTCTGTGGCGCACTGCAATTTTCCTTCATTTTCCTCAGCTTAATTTACGCGTTGGGGCTGGTTTCCCTATTGATTTATTTAGGCATAGGCCTTTCACGCCCTCTCATAACTGACTATGTATGTATGTATGTGCTGTGTGTTTGTATGTTTGAGTCATTCATTCATTGTTCGCTCACGCATTTTCCTGCTTTCTCCGTTTTATGGCCCCCTCTGGTTTTCCCGGCCCGCTTTTCCCTGGGTTCCGCTTTTCCCCCGCGCAGCATTGATTCATGTTAAATTTATGCAAATTGCCTAGTATTCCGAATGTACGGATAAGGCTCTTCCACACCAATTCGCTTCTAAAAATAAACTACACAAGGGGAAAAAATTAACAAAATATAGCAATGTCAGAACCATACGCGTGCTGAATTTGGTCGGGCTAATAAATATCTATCAATAAAGCCTGTACAGCATATACAATTATTAAAGCAGGCGTTACTACCTCTTAATAGATTTATTAAGAGCAGTTATAATATTACATCTGAATGGTACTTAATAAAAAAACGATCTTAAAGTAGTTTAGTAAATAATATTTATAGTTTCAGGTATTTAAATAAAAGTTATCTAAGAAAACCTAACTTAACCAAATTGATTTTGTTTAAAAGAAAACAGTTTTTACCAGATATATGTATTTTTTTGCCGTGCAAAAACTTAAGGCTAAGTCCCTAATTAGCTTTTCTTGGAATTCAAGTTTCCGTTCTCCAAAAACGGGTTAAAAGCTGCCTTCAAATTAATTGGTTAATTGCTTGCAACATTTGGCTGCAGTTGGCCTTGTTTAGCGGGTGGCGGACGGGGCGTATACGTCATCTCCACTTTGCACACATCACTTGCCAGCGGGCTGGGACGACAACAATGGCAACACTCTTGATTGGAATGGAGATGGGGACTGGGATGGGTTGTTGATGGCTTACAGGAATAACCGCTTTGCTGCTTTATGGTGAAAACATGCTAGTCGCCATTTTCTTGGCCAACAACAGAGCCAGTCGCTGATGACGTGGCCAAAAGAGAGAGGGTCCTTCGGGCCGAAGGTCAATATACCCGCGCCACGAGTGTGTGGAAACTGTGACTCCGATGCGAAAGTGTCTGCGGATTTCGGTCGCCGCGGTTGTAAAATCAATTCCCAGCGGTATCCTCATCCCCCACCACATTTTCGCTGTCAGCTGCATTTCCATTGCATTGAGCGATGGCTAAATCGCATTTTCCCAGCATTGACAAGGCCACAAGCAGTGAAATTCCAGATCTCTGGGTAAAACGCAGCCAAAGGCAAAATGAAATGTAATTACAACAATGAAATACGAGTCACTTGACCCAGATTGCCACCCCTGGCACCTTCAAGAAAATGTGACTTCCGCACGTTTGGTGAGTTTTCCATGGTGAAAGGCTTTTCCCGACACAAAGGATACGCTGGAGTAATGAAATCCCGGCCAGACCAAACACAACTGCCTCATAAAGGGCAGGAGCTGAATTATTGCATGGCTTGCAATATTCTTGGGTGAGGTCAATGTGTTTTTGTTTATAGGCCAGCCCACCGACCCCGTGCCACTCCCCTCTTCATGGGCCGTAAAGTTGGTAAGCCAACGAGAACGGGAACGTTTTACGTGCATCTCAGACGAATACACAGTGGAAAACTCTGCCTTTTATCCCACCAAAAAAGCTGTTCGGTATATAAAATATTCATATTTCTAGTTATGTTTTAAATATATATATAATTTCCATATTCATGTGAATGATCATGGCATTACTGTAAACTTTATTAAATCAAAAACATTTTTTTCTAAATCTTTCGAAACTAAATTATCTTTATAATGCCAATGATATAACCAACTCGTGACTCAGAACTTGCCAGGAAGAAATTCTTACCCTACATTGTAATAAGAACCGCAAATATTCCATAATCGCAAATTTTTTTTCTGAAGTTGAATGGGTCCCTGAATTCTAATTCATATTGTCCATTAGGAATACTCTTATCGCTTAAGTTTCTCTAGTAATTATTTTACAATACCATCATAATTGTAAAATATTTAAAACAACGTTATTTCGATGAAACCACATCGTTAGTCAGTCGAGTTTTGCATTCAAGTGTAGCAGTTTGTAATTTCAAAATGCACAGGCACGCTCAATGGATCGGTACAGTTCTTCGAAATTTTGGATAGTAAAATATTGGGATTGTATCGTTTATTAAGATGAACTCTTTTGTTATAATTTCCGCTAGTAACCTCTTTCTGTAATTGTGTTCTTCCAGTGGCGACGATTTCGACCATTTGTCTCATCCTGACCATTGCAGTATACCTTTACGTTAAGATGCTCAGAAACACACTCGGAAAGTGTATTGTCAGCTGCCTGTTTAGTATGGTGATGGTGCAAGTCATTTTCATACAAAATTCTTTAAATTTTTTGTTTCATCTTTTTCCAACATGTTAGTTGTTAAGACGCGGTTGGGAAGGATTTATAAAGAAGTTTTTCTTTTTCCAGATTGCTTCATTTACGGAAATGTATTTCTTTTCTCAATCGTTTTTGAGTGGGCTCGTAACTTTTTTCAGTTTGCGTACTTCATCTGGCTCTCTGTCATTAGTTACCACTTGTGGCAAGTGTTCAAATCGCCCAAGTGCGATGCCAATTCTAAATCATTTTTGGCCTATAGTGCTTTTGTCTGGATAACGGCTGCTATTATGACAGTAGTCTTCTTTTTTATGAATACACAAGATGATGAGAGTTTGATAGGTAATTTTGAATAATTATGAAATAATAATAATTATTAGGATATCGTTTATAATATTCTTTACTTTGGACGTCGACTGTACTTACAGTTTTTTGCATGTTAATGGGATCGCTAATCTTCAACATCTTCAACTTAATTATGTTTATCCTGACAACCATTAATATTTGCAAAGTAAAAGGAGAAATGAAAAGATTTACTCGAAGGAAGGACAAAACAACGACCTGCTTTAATTTTGATACCCAGACGTAAGCCATATATATTTTTTATGTTCTGTAGACAAGCGTAAAACTTTCTTTCTAAATATAGTTATCTGCAGTTTCTACGAATGTCCATTATGATGGGCTTGTCTTGGATCTTTGTCATAACTGTTTATGTTTTAAATATTTTTTTTACATCCTTTAATGATTTACAATTTATGATCGATTTACATCGCGCTTTTGGTATATATGTTTTTATTCTGCTTATCGTTAAGCGCAGCACCCTGAAACTAATCATGGAAAGGTATTACGAGTATTTATGTGATAGAAAAATACATTTGAATAACCTGATCTCTGTTCTTTCAGCATTCGCGAGAGTCAAATTAAGCGGCGTGTTCGTGCTCAAATGGAAAGAGACCTGCCCTAATTTAAAAAAGTTTTGTGTATCCTGCGGAGCTGCAAAAATGTGGATGATTTCTATTAAAAATGCAAATATCTTAGGGTTATTTCGTCTCATTAGATTTATTTAAAGGTTTCCAAGAATTTCGAAATTTAAATACATTATTAAGTTAAGATAAAATGTAGCGGGCAGACCTTGATTCAACCAACAAATTTTTATGGAATTTATATGATTGGCATGCTCTGCACTTATCGCTTGAGGCACTCAAGATTTTTATGGGTCTCCAATGCGTGCTTAAAATAGCTAACTATACAACTTGTATGTTTCTTTAATTGAATTGGAAACAACAACACTTCACCAACAACCTAGATTACGTTTTTGGGAGTACTGGTATGGGTTCTGATTCTCTGATGTTGATTTTGGAGCAAATGTATTTATTTAGAGAAACAACTCCATCGAACGCCACTCGAAATTGGCCTCAAGTGTAGCAGGCTGTACATTTAAAATGGAGTTAACTTGGTCCTTTTACGGTACTCCCCTTAATCAATTTAAACGTAACTTTTACGATGCTTTGGTTAAATTGCACTTCAAATTTAAAGCTGTTGGTAAGATTTCTTCTCCTTTCTGTTTTTCTAGTGCTTGTTATGTCTATGACGTGCTACATTCTTACCATCGCCGTTTATATTTACGTAAAGGAGCTCCGGAATACGCTTGGAAAATGCGTTATCAGCAGCCTATTTTGGAGTTTCGTAACTGATCTTATCTGTACAGTGGCGTTTCTTTTAAAGACCAGAGTACCCTGTTCAGAGTGTTAGTTGTTAGAATCTTGTTTGCAAATCCAAGATATTTAAAATTGTTTATGTTTTCAGATTTAAGCATCAACTTTTTCTCTAACGCAAGCATTCTTTGGCGCTCCGTCATTGGTTACTACTTTTGGCAAACCTTCAAATCGGGAAAGCGCGGTGATCATCCGTACCAATTCGTAGTCTACAACGTTTTAGTATGGATCCTGGCTGCTCTAATGATAGGATACGATGTTTTGATAAAAGAACAGATTCGGGATTCGAGTATGTTTTCAGAAAGTTGCGAATAAATTGGTTTTAATGAGCTACATTCAAACATCCATAATTTTACATATTGACAGTACACTACATTATGCCAGGACTTCAAAATTATATGCTGCTGCTGATCCTATGTATCTATGATCTAATCATGTTTATTCGGACTGTCATTCACGTTAGGAAAACAAGGAAAGAGCTGAAGATAAAGGCGTTGAGGCAACAGGAAGAGACCACAACATCTGGCCACAAATTCGACATTGAAACGTAAGCTCCTACTTTAATACGCGCTACTCGTAGAGTAACAAGGTATACTAGATTCATGGGAAAGTATGTTTCCGAATCTCATAAAGTACTTATATTCTTGATCAGGATCACTAGCCGAGTTGATCTAGCCATGTCCGTGTATCCTTCTATCCGTATGAACTCTGTGACCTCGGAAACTTTAAAAGCTACAATATTGGAATTAGGCATGCAGGTATGGATTTATGCGCAGCGCACGTTTGATTCAGCAGAGTGTCACGCCCACTCTAGAGCTCACATTTTCAAAGATTAAAGTTTAAAATAAATTTTGTTTTTTGCTTTTTCAATACCCTTTGGCCTTACTTAATAGGTAATGATTTTACCCCCGTATCTAGCAACTAACATTGTCAATGATGTCACAGCCAGTAGATAAAAGGTATGTAATGTAAGGTAGATAACATTTTCAAAAGTATCTTTATTTTGAAGTTTTTGGATCTGGTAGCCGAGATACTCTACTATAGCGTTCTTCCCTGTTTATTTAATTGTACTTTATTTAATAACCAATAAAAATGTTTTACTGCTTAATCCAAACATAGATATCACCAGTTTAGACGAATGTCCGTTATTATGGGCGTTTATTGGACTAATCGTTTCAGCTATTTTTTTATGACAGTTTTAGGTGTATGTGAAGCTGTTATAGCTGACATAACAAACCTCTTGAATTGTTCCATACTCAGTTTTGGCATGTTTGTTTTTGTAGTGCTTATAATAAACCGCAGGACCCTTACACTGCTCGTGGATAGGTAAGTCCTTTGTGATTGAAAAAGAGTCTGATATAACGTAGAATTTATGATTTCAGATTTCGTGAATGACGAAATGAGCACTGTGTCTGCAATTAGAGATTTTTTTGCAGTTACTCTTTGTTTTGATTTAAACGGAACTAAAATAACATTCCCATTGATGCCAAAATGTAGAGGAAGTAATTTCAAATTATGAGTATTTTTATCGTTTGTTTCATCAAAATACTTATGCCGACTAGTGTATATAAATGCAAAGAGCTTAAGGCCTACAGCTCCTATAGTTCTATTATCCACCCTCTGTTAGGTTATAGTTTTAAATCAGAATTTTGTATTGCCTTTAAATTGTATTTTATTTGAAATTTGAAATCTGATAGTTAAAGCACTCGACCAAAGCGTTTCTTTTTGTTAAGAAACATAAATGGTTGCTTGAATGTGTAGTGGAAATGGATCCCCAGAGTCTGGGTTATATACCCAAATAATTGTATGTGCTTTGGGAACATTGTTATCGATTTAGTTTATCTGTTGTTGATTTTAAAACACTGCTCTGCGAAGCACATTTATTATTATACTGCGGTTCAGTCGAGTTTGTCCTCAAGTGTGGCACGTCGTACATTTAAAATGCACTCTACTTGGTTAAGTTTCGGTACCTTTCGTATTTAATGCATTAAATATTTTTTTAAACTACTAGCCGTTGTTTTGCGAGTAGAACAGAGAGTATAGCAAAATAACTATAATTTTTGTTTTTTCAGTCATGGTAATATCGATGATATGCTATGTGCTTAGCATCGCCGTTTATCTTTACGTTAAGAAGCTCAGAAATACTCTTGGCAAATGTATTATCTGCAGTCTATTTAGCATTGCCATAGTGAATTTTATTGTAATTTCGGTGAAATTTTGGCTGATATTTCTGGTAAACGCAATGGTAACCTATATGGTATGTAGATTTTGAAACCAATTATGACATTTTAAATTTTAAATACCCTTGTATGATATTGAAGTTAAATATTAAGTGCACTTTTTATGTGTCGAAAAATTTAAAATCGGTAATTTTAACTAAACGAACATGGTTTACTCATATTCAAAATTATCGGGGTGCAAAAAATTACTAGGGTTTTGAAATTACTTTTAAATGTTTTTTAAGGTGTCAAAAATAATGTAGAAATATATGTTTAAAGAAATCACTTAACAAAGTTTTTTGAACCTTTTTATAATTTTCAGACTTGTGTTTTCTTTTTAAGTGCTTACATCGCCTGGCTTTCTGCAATAAGTTATCATATCCAGAAAGTCTTCCGAACGGTTAAATCCGCTGAACATCGTCATCAATTTCTGGTCTACAGCACATTTGTTTGGACCACAGCAGCTACTGTCACCGGAGTCTTTTATTTGATTCAAAATACACGCTACGAGTGCCAAAAAGAATCGAAGTTTGCAGGTAGATTTTTTTTAAGGAAGTTGATTAATAATGGAGACGAAACTGCTTTAAATTTTTTACTATATTTTAAAGCTTAAACATTTTCAGGAAAATGCCTTATTTTAGGATGGCTGATCCTGTCTATCTTCAATATTGTCAAGTTTATCCAGACGACCACTTATATTTGGAAAGTAAAGAGAGAATTGGCTAGGGTTACAAAACAGAAAGAGACAACACCGACTTGCTTCAATTTTGACACTCAAACGTAAGGCCTGGTCTTCTTTGTTTGGAATTTGGTTAGAAATTTTTATTTCGTATACCGAATATAGTTATTTACAGTTCCTGCGATTGTCTGTCATGATGGGCCTATCCTGGATCTTTATTAATCTTGTATGGGCTATATATGTGATTTTTGATACAAGTTCAGAATGGATTCAGATGTTTGTTCTTGATCTTAGTTTTTACATCGGTATTTTTATTTTTATCCTGCTTGTCGCTAGGCGCAGCACCCTTAAACTTCTCAAAGAAAGGTATGTTCTATGGGATTGAAAGCATGTTTTTTAATAAACGTTCATTTTTACAGTTTTCGGGAGAAATGTGCAGCGTGTCCACGCACAGGGAATAAAAGTAATGCCTGTCTAATTCTAATATGTTAGTTGATTTAAAAAAAATTAAGTTCTTGTCTTGGTTTTTTAATCGATTTACTTTAAAGTCGGTATTAAAGGTTCTTAAACTTAAAACATTAAAATAATTTTATCGTGGGCAATACTAATTTTGGTGATGTAATTACTAAACGTTAAATACCTAATATTGTAAAGAAAAAGAATGCGGGCGAACCAAAAACATCTATTAAAAATCTGATAAAATTGTTCTCTCTGTGTTCTGGGCCTCCAAATGGAAGTTACGCACTTTGGGTGGTGACGTCGCATCGACCCATCATAACTTCTGCTCCAAGCCAAGCCAACTCCCATTTGGCTTTCGCCTGTTCTTGGGCTCAGACATTTCCATTGTCCATAAATCAAATGTTGCTTTGAAGCTGCCGCTTGTTTGCTGTGGCCCCAGATAAATGAAACTATATATAGCTGTAGCGGAAATATAAGAGTGGGCAGAGATGAGTTGGTAACTTAATAGTACTTCGAAAAAATCTTTTAAAATTATTTTTAAAAATAGAATTTGCTATCAAACTTGTGCTATTGTTATCAATTTAAAGCAATAACTTTTATTGATTGCAAAATAAATATATCAATGTGTAGAACGCGTTGCGAAAATTTGTGTTCTTTATATGATTCTCAAAAGTTTAAATTACTGGGTGCCGGCATAAGAAAAGATATTTTTTTTGTGGAAAAACAACAAATGGCAACTAAAATTTCATGAATACTCTATGAGCCAGAGCTCTGAGCACATTTGCTCCAGTGAATTGTTAAACTTTTTGGCGCCAATCCGCAAGTGTTTTGAGGCGGGCTGAAAAATTCGAAACTTTTCCGCGTTTTGTGGTAAATTGCATTTCCGAATGACTGCTCCAATTGGATGTGTATATGTGTCGAGACAATCACGAAATTCGGAGGCCTACGAGGCAGTAAATTGAATTAAGCCCCGGCGAATATCCTGGGAGTGCCTGGTATCCTTCCGCATCCTTGGCTCCAGCGGGTTGGGATTTGAGTTCAACTGAGTGATGGCACCACGATGATAATAAAAGTGCGGCATTGGGCATGCGGAAATGTAAACAAGTGTGCCACATGTGTGACGAGGCACAATTGACTCGTCTTGACTCGAGTTGCGTAACAATGGCCGGCTTTGTGGCTCGAGTTAATTGACTTGGCCCTTTGGCTGCATGGGGTTAATCGTCCAGGATGCGGCAAATATATGCTCCAGTTGCCAGGCAGATAGGGCACGAGCCTAAGTCTAAGGACCATTGTGTGACTGACATCTTAATTAAAAATGACTCATACGCGCCGTTGGCCCCTGCAACATTTCGCTGCGCACGCAACAAGTGTCTTGGCAGTTTGTTTATACACAAATGTTGCCGGTGTTGTGACTAGCCAAAAACAATTCCCTCACAAATTATAGAGCTGATTCGTCTTGTATCTAAAATTCTTATTTCGTTAGTTCGTAATTTTTTGTTTCAGACTTTTAACCTTGATAAATATATCTCATCGTTTCTTTTATTTAAAGTGAGGTCCAAAAAATCGCCTTAAAACTGAAGTCGTTTTCACCTCATTAATTAGTTTGCACAAACTGTTTATTTTTTCATTGCCTTGGAAATTCCATTTAAATACCCATATTTACTTGCAAGTTCTATAAACATTAAATTATATCACTTTTTCTTCTTATTTTATATTTTAATGAATTGCTCTTGTTTAGTTTAAAGTAAAATTAAGAAAGTTTCTTTGAGTAACAATACATATATAAACCAATATAAATACCTATGTTTATAAACAAATGTTTCCGACTACCTCAAAATGAATTTTCGCTTTTCTCTCGGAAAAACTGGCTGGCATCCAACCGTGGGACAGTGAATCAATCGCCAGAAAACCAACTCAAATAGTTTTTACCTCATTTTGGCACAGTTCTTCTTCTTGTTTTCCCCTGAAACGAATAGTTTTTTTCCCCCATTTTGTTTTGCTAATTTTCTGTTGGCTTTCGTTTCCGCTGCTGGCTCATTGACTATTTGTTAATTTCATAAATAATTGCCAGCAATTAGAAATGATTATTCCGCTTTGATTTTGGCCTCAATAGGGCTTTCTCATTGTTTGTGCTCATGTCTCACCGAATGTCCTGGGGCAATATCAATTAACTTGAATGCTAAACACCGGCACGAGCTGCGTTAAATTGAGTTTCAAGTACTTTTTCAGCCACCTGTGCAGACATTTTCCATGAATTGCTCATAAATTTGATCTTAATTACCCAAGGACGAATGCCAAGGACCCGCTTGGAAAAACACGTGGCTGGGCTTAAGCCCTCTTTTCGGTGGCTGACACTTTGACTTTTGAAAGCCTTTAAAACGATGACCCCTTTTGAAAATTCAAACAGAAAGTTTTAATTATTTAATTTAATTTTTTAGGCTGCAACTGCAGTTTGTGCAGTGTTTTGGTTTTACCAAGAAATAGTTTAAATAATATATAATATCTTGTTATATTCATAGAGAAGTCAGCTTAATATGATACAAATTAATATAAATCCTAAATCCACTTTATATTTTAAAGTCTCTAAATTTAACCAAATATATAATTTCTAATAACTAACCATATTCATAAATAAATTAGTTTGTGGCCTTCAGAGTAATTGTTAGATATTAAATAACAAGACTATACCAGTTACAGAGACCACCAGCAATTCATCACAGGCTGAAGCATAAACTCCCGAGAAGCTCGTACTCCTGAACATTCCTTTATGTCCTGACCAACGGGGAATTGTAATTTCCCGACACGTTGCCACATGTTCTGGCCATTAATTCGGCCAGTTCGCATCATAATTGGTCGGCACCTTGTAATGGCCAAAACTGATTTCCATATTAATTGCTCATTAGCCCCCTGTGCGGAAGTGGTACTTGCTTTTGGCCCCCTAGTGCATTAACATGCGGCAATCGGTTGACCAAGATTACGCATACGCAGCGTGGCCCATGGTGTGGTCACTGATAAGTTGCCAACAGCTTTGCGGTCCTGCGGTTGCTGTGGTCGAACAAATATTATTGCTGCCGCAAATTGAAGCTGCCTGCCACGAACAAAAGACAAGTGCTAAAATCCAGGGGTCATAAATCAGTTTGCGGATGGACATAGCCCTTGCCCGGAAAAAGTTTGCCAACAGATGCCCGGGCCAAATGATGCGTTTACCGGCAAAGGGAGGGCATAAATTAAATATTAATATTCAATTAGAAGAACGTTTATTGATTTCTAACCCGGCTATTGTCTGTCCTCCGTCGTTCAATGGCATTTTGATTAAAAAGTTAAAAGTTAGACCGCCAGAAAAAACCTGAAGCTCATCTGCAGGCAATGCACGTTAGAACGTTTTATTACAGCCACATGTCGCATGTCCCCAACACAATGGACCAACAGGATGAGATACTAGGATATATATATAATATATACCACAACTATGTAGCCAGCTGGACTGACAGTGGAGTCTCATTTTTGAATAATTTAATGAGCTGCCCGGCGACGGCGGCGTATGCGCAATATTAAATCCTGGCTACCGCACATTTATCATGGAGCCACATCCTCGCACACACAGACTGCACATCCTCAGCCACATCCTTTCCAGCACGTCAGTTTAATATGTTTTTAATTGTCCGCCACTGGCAGGAGAATCTACTTGGCTTTAATGACCCCTCCGCTGCGGGAATGTCTCCTTTTTAATTTTTAATGCCGCCCATTAAGGCGCAATCGTGTATATATCAGGTCGAGCTCTCCGAGCAAGTTAATTAATTTTTACAAAGCCACGCCAGTTGGCAACAAAATTTGGCGATAAATCAACTGATAATGTCAGCGCATTTAGCGACATCCACTTTCGCAGGCCAAAGGCAGAGTTGTGATAAACTTTTAGCCATGCTTAGACGGAGCTCGCGATTGACGTGTGCGGGCGCAAATCAAAAGCCAACAACTTGGCCCGAGGGGTTGCCAGCAAAGTTTTCTGGGTCAGCGTGCGGAAAACCTTTAATCAGAAACTGCTTAATGCAAGGGTTTCCCTCCATTTCCTTCGGGGCACACAAGTTGGGAAGCGGAGTGAGGGTATGCGTGGGCACACTTCTTGTTAAAGTTAAGTGACAATGGAAGGTCAAAGTTTACATATCAAAAAGGTTGATTCAATATAAGGCTGTCCTTGTTGATTTTACTCAAGAAAACATAGAACGGAAAGTTGTTTCTCAAAGAAAACATTATCTTAGGCTCAAAGGATCTTTAATGCATAAAATTACATTCCCCATTCTTATTTGATGACGTTTTTATAATTAAACTAAATTATTGAGTTACAGCCTAAGAGAAATTTGTATTCTTTTATCCTTTACATTCTTTCATTTTTATCGAATCCGAATTCTTTACTTTAATGCTTTCCAGCTATTTGTGTGTTTTAAGACGTACATTATTTCTCGTTTTCAATTCCAATTGTCAAGCCTGCAGCAGCCCTACAATATGTTGGCCAATTTATTATCCCATCAGCCGCAAAGCCATAAAAGCTGCCCGGATAAAGGCAAAGACACAGATGCTTTAGATGGGGCAGAATGTTTTCAGTGTATAATCTATAAATTGTAGAGCTAGAAATAAGATATTGCAATTCAGACACATGGGATACAGTGTAAAAGCATCAAAATAAATCTCCTTGTTTTGTTAAAGCCATATTCATCGGGGGACTGGGCCGGACTGCAGGAGGCTCCCTTCTACTTCTTGCCACTGCTGCTCTGCTGGATGACAGCGCAAATTTTATCAAATGCCGATTCCAGACTGTCTATGAACACCTTCCCATCAGCCTGGTTTTTGTACGTGGTGACAATGGCGCCGGCGAATTCGTTCTGAATCGAATAGCTAAAAGAAAAATAGGTTATCAACTGTCACCAATTGAACAATTTGTCGGGGGAGACTTGAAAAATGGTTACGGTGTTTGAATACCAGACATTCAACTTCGGTAGACGGAGGGCTTACCCGATTCCAAAGCCATTCCTGACCACCGGACCGAAGGAACCCGCCAGCAGGGCATCGGATCCCAGGGTGGAGGTACTAATGATATTGTTGTTAATGCGCTTATAAGCCTCAGTCTCGTAGAGTTCGGGAAGGGGTATGCCCTCCTTTTGGGCCGTGTGCCGCAGGGCGAAGAGATGCCGATCGAAG